TGGGAAGATGGGGTACAGCTGTGAGGGAAGGGGGTACCCCTTCATTACTGTCCACACAGACGGAGTTTTCACACCCATTGGGTTCCCCAGGATTTCCAGCTCGATCATGCCTCTATAAGCCTGTTATTCTCATTTTTCTTATTTACTCTGATTACTGCCCATCTTACCAATTAGAATGTTAAGCTTCACAACAGTATATGTTTTTATGTGCTGTTTCCCCAGGACCCAAAACAGTGCCTGGTGCATACGTGGCATTTAATCACTACCCTATGAACAAATGGATCTCTTTGATTCTTATGGTGACTCTGTCAACAAATGGATTCACTCATTTCATTCTTCCAAGCCCTGTGCTGCAAGTGGAAGACAGAGAGATAGCATGAAATCAAGGCCACTTCCCTCATGGAGTTTTTGAGTCCTGAAGCAATCAAACTCTGTATGCAATAATGGCAAACTGGTAAAGTTATGAATGGAAAAGTACAAAATACTCCACACCAGGTGCACTGTGATCGTTTTGGTTTCTTTTCACAGTCGAATCCTGACGTTAATCTCTCTAGAGAGTGAATCAAACTTTAGGAGAGACCTATTCTGAGATCTCCGATTCAAAGCCAGATCTGCTTTGCCCCTCTTTACATTAAATCCCTCAAGCGGAAGTTAACAGTTATCCTTTTGAGTCTCAGCCCAAAAGGTAACTAGAATTTTAGGGGCAAGAGGGCTGGTAGTGTCCTCTGTTGGGGTCTTTATTGTACCTGTTTACATAAAGCCCGAATATCTGACCCCTTCCCTTGATAAAGAGTGTAAGACTCAGGGTGAAGTCTCTGAGCACTAGACCGTAGGACTGACACCTACCCCACAGGTCTAGCCTCCCATTTGGGGGAAAAAACCGGTAAGAGGCAGTCAGTGCAACTGACTTGTACTTGCAAGGGAAAGTGCATAATGGTGGGAGGAGTGGAAACTTCAACAGTTAAAGTCCAGTTCCAATGCTGGGCTATATTCTCTTCTAGCCTTTCTGCCTAGGGGTTCAGCTGACCGGGGGAGGAGCTGCATGGGTTAAAATAAAACACTGCCAGAGACCAGCAAGACCTTGATTCTCCCACAGAAGCTGCCTCCTAATAAAGATGAGGTTATGCCAACAGGAAAGGTCAACAAATGCGAAAAGTAACAGTAAAAACATCTTGAACATTTTACTGCTTATGTAATGATAAGGTTCTCAAGAGAAGCTATGACAATGTACAGGCCAGGAGGATACTCAACCTTACCTCTTGCCTGAGGAGTCTTGAGTAGTTCATCCCATAACCCAGCACTTTCCTACTCGTCAGCATAAAAATCTGAATGAATAAAAACGATCATATCAGATAGAAAGATAGAATTACTAAAAAGCATTCATTACTAAAGGTCGGCATAGCAGCAAAATAAAACTCATTGCTGTGGAGTCAGTTCTGTCTCATAGGGACCTGTAAGATAACAGAATCACCTCATAGTTTCTAAGACTGTAAATCTTACGGGATCAGACTGTCACATCTTTCTCCCATAGAAGGTAGGTTTGAACTGTTATGTGCTGAGTTGCTTGCGACTTATAGCGACCCTATGTACAACAGCCCTATACCCTGCTCTATCTCTTGCCAACCTTATTGTCTCTGACACATCTATCCCTATTACCCCAGTGACTGAATCAATCCATCTCATTTGAGGGTATTCCTCTCCTGAGCTGTCCCGCCACCCTTCCAAGCATTATGCCCCTCTCCAAGGACTGATCCTGCCTTGAAACATGTCCAAAGTATGTCAGACGAAGCTTCAGAATCCTTGCCTCCAAGGAACAGCCCGGCTTCAACCTCTCCAGCACGAACTTCTTTGTTCTCCCAGCAGTCCATGGTATATTCAATACTCTTCTCCAGCACCAAAGCTCAAAGGCATCAACTTGTCTTCTATCATCCCTAGTCATTGTCCAGCTCTCTGAAGCATAGCAAGAATGGCAAGGACCATGGCCTGTATCAGGCGCACCTTAGTCTCCAGACTGACATCGTTGCTCCTCCTAAGAGAGGTCTCCGACAGTACACTTTCCCAATGCAATTCGTCTTTTAATTTCCTGGCTGCTGGCATCAAGGGTGTTGATGGCAGAGCCAAGCAAAGTGAAGCTGTCAGCAATCTCAATGTCTTCACCACGTATCATGATGGTGCCAATTGGCCCAGTGGTGAGAATCCTTGTTTTCTTTTTGTTGAGCTTCAATCATATTGAAGGCTTCAATCCTTGACCTTCTGCAGCAAGCGCTTCAGGTCCTAACCACGGAGCCACCAGAGACAAGCCGGGATTAAAAACCTGACTGCTCTGGCTAAAGAATGATGTCAAAGAATACGGGTATTCTTGGCAAGCTGTTCAAAATTCCAGACAGGAAAAGCTTTCCAAGAAGACAGAAAAGCACGTGAGCAAAGCAGAAAGTGGCCAGTACGAGGAACGCGCATCAGAGTCCAAGTTCCCAGTCTCTGCGGCCCAGGCATTATCGCGCAGAGCCTCCTCGCAAACAAGCAAGATTATACAAACCCAGCCCAAAGCCCAACTACGCATGCGGCTACCTTCAACCCCACAATGCACAGCGCTCGGGGGGCGGTGGGGGGGGGGCGCTGTCTCCGCCTGACTTCCGATCCCTGTCTTCCGGTGAGCTCTGAGTGCCCCTCCGGCAAGCCGGGATTTGGAGGAGATAAAGCAACTCAGAGGACGGGAGCATCACCTTTACGGTCAGTACTGAGAGAGCAGACTACTGCCGTGAAGTGCTGGGATTGACGAGAATGAGGATGCTTGCTTGCTCCGGCTGGAAAAGACGAGGCATGCCGCACTGGGCGCCGCCATGACAGCCTGGTTACCGGAAAAGGCGTGTCCGTCCTTTCTGATTGATCCTTCGCGGTCACCTGCCTCGAGATGTGAGTATCCCGAGCGCCCCCTCCGTACCTTGTCTTCCCCAGGTCCTGGCCATTGTTCTACGCGCTCAGAAACACTACCCTCCCAGTCTCCTTTCAGCGTTCACTTCGCCCTTCAAAAGCTAGGACATTTTGTCCCCACCCCGCCTTCCTAAGGTTCGGGCTCCGCTCCTTGTCCTCGTCGTGCGGTAGTGGGCTTGGGGGTTAGGGAGGGTTTGAGGGTTAGGGAATGACTTCCAGGTCCTTAGAGCCTAAGTTCTCTCTGCCCCAAGGTTAAGGAGACTATACCTTTTGAGTACTGTCCCCTGAATCTTCCCAGAACCACAGAACGTACCACGAGAGCCCACCAATTTATTCCTAAATCGCTGCAAGAACCTCAACCAAAACCCAGACCTACTGCCTTCAGGTCCATACAGGTCCTCCAAAGCCGTCATGCGGAAGGAGACTGCCAGTCTGTCTTGTACGAAGCGACTGGTGAATGCCAAGCAGCCAAGGAGCACTACCCCACCAGAGCTCCTTAAAAGTTTATACAATACTCCTGGGCCTCTCTACATAAAAAAGACTGATAACCCAATTACAAAATGGACAAAAGACGTGGTAAGAATTTTCACAGAGGAAGATAACTCGAATGGCAGACACATGAAGAAATGCTCCAAATCACTGGCAGTTAGATTCAGATCAAAACCACAATGAAGTACCATTTCAGTCCAGTAACAGTGGCAAAGTTTAACAGGGCAGCAAGTAATAAATGTTGAAGAGGATGTGGCGAGAAAGGAACTCATACATTGTTGGTAGGTTTGTAAAATGGTGCAACCATTCTGGAAGTCAGTTTGGTGCTTCCTCAAAAAGTTGAACATAGAAATTCTATATGACTCAGCTATTCCACGATTTGGAATATACCCTGAAAAAATGAGAACTGAGGCACAAACGGAGGTTTTTGCACCAGTGTTAATAGCAGCATTATTCACCATCACAAGAACATGGAAACATCCCAAATGACCAGTCACAAATTAATGGATTGAGAAATTATGGTACATTTACCCAATGGAATATTACCCAGCACACAGGAGCAATGATTTTTTAATTTATTACCTAACTTGGGAAGGACTGGAGAGCATTATGCTGAGTGAACTAATCCAGTCCCACAAGGATAAAAATTGTATAAAGCCATTATTGTAGAATGAGTATAAAGATCCAAGGGAGGTGGGGGAGGGTGGAAGCACAGGGATGAGGATGTGCAGGGGGAGGGGAGAATTAATCATGGGGTTATACAATTTGTTGGGTGGGGGATGAGGGAATTTGAAAGAATTTGTTTCTAAAAAGAATGTATTCAAATTTTGTAAATAAACTAGTAGAGAAAACAACAACAAAAACCCCTCCAGGTGGTGGTGATTGTAGCGTGCCATCCAGTCGGAACAGACCTGTCGCTGACCCTCCAGCAAGTTTTCAGAGGCAGTAAATTGCACAGGAGGAGATTGTCTAACCTCCTTCTGCAGAGCAACTGGTTGGTGGGTTTGAACTGGTTGCAGCACAGCTTCTTACCAGTAGGCCACCAGAGCTCCCTTGAACGCCTCAGATTTACTCCAAGGACTCAGGTTCATTCAGGGCTTCCAGATCACACTTTTAGGAACCTGAGGCCCACTTGGGATCCCCACAGAAGGGCCTTAATCCCATCTCCCATACTGCTGGAAACTTCCTCAGGATCTCATCCCACTACTTAGACCTCCAAATCCATTTAGAACTTTCAGATCATCTTTCTACATTTTAGATCTAATAGGGCTTCAAGCCCTCCATATGTACTCTAAGATGACCCTTGGCTTTTAAGATCCTTTTTCGAAAGCCCCAAGATCTTGCTTTTCAAGCTTTAAAACAACCAGACCTAGTTTTAGGGTCTCCACTGTCTCCCTAGGAGTTAACAGTCTGCTTTATAATGCTTCTGGGCTTAGGCTTCTTCACACCTCTCTGGCTACATCCCAAAATTCTTGGAATTTCTTGGTCCACCCAGGACCCCAAGTTCTGTCTATGGCCCAGGTTAGAACTCCTTCTCTCCATGCTCCCCACAGTGACGACTTGCTTTCTCTGTTCTGTAGGCAAGCAGCCCTTGAGATCACTGCTCGCTATTGCAGTCGGGAACTGGAGCAGTATGGCCAGTGTGTGGCTGCCAAGCCCGAGTCGTGGCAGCGGGACTGTCACCACCTCAAGATGAGCATTTCTCGCTGCACGTCCACACAGTGAGTTGAGCAGGACGGGTGGGCAGTGTGTATGGGGTGGGGGGGGGCAGAATTGAGTAAGTGGTTTCCAGCTTCTTAAAAGCTCTTCTCCCATAGCCCAATTATCCGCCAGATCCGCCAGGTCTGTGCTGAACCGTTCCTGGCCTTTGAGGAGTGTCTCCGAAAGAATGAAGCAGTGATAGGCAACTGTGCAGAGCATATACACCGCTTCCTGCAGTGCGCTGAGACGGTCCAGCTGCCACATTCACCTTCTGCTGGGGAGGTAGGTGGTCATGCCCCTTTATCCACCTTCCTGCCCCGTCCTCTCAGTCTACTTTCCCGCTCTGCAGTCGTCATTGTCACCCCTTTACCTTTCACCAAGGCCTTATCTGTACGCCTGAAACATGATTGTCTCTTGTCAAGAAATCTCTCTATGCACTGCTCCTGCTTAAAAACTTTTCCATAGCTCTTTGTGAAGCCCACAGGACCATGCAGGAAGTCACCCCTCAGTTGTGAGCCCCACCTGTTCCCACTTCCACCTCAAGCTCTAGGTTCCAGCCTCTGAACATTCAGACATTATGTCTTTCCTGTTCAAGGCTTTTGTCCGTCTGTTTCCCTCTGCCCAGATTGCTCTTCTGAATCAGTCCCCTTACTAATTTCTATTGTTTAGTCGTTCTCTTTCTCAGAAAACCTCCCAGTCATTCTCTTTCTCGGAAAACCTCTCAGGATGCCCCAGATCCTTTCTCATGTCCCCAGATACCCTTCATCATGCACTGTATCATTTATAATTACCACTGTCTCGTTGCCTGCTTTGAGAGACTTCTTAACTAGTAATTGAGGAAATGCATTTAAGTTACTGATTCCTTTTGAAATGAAAAGTTCAGACTCCAAGAACAGATAACAGCTGAGAGATTTTTAATTCTCCTTAGAAGACACACAGTAAGATTGCATGTTGTCTTTGGTAGATTCTCTTTCATTGTGTATGAACTCTTTCAAGTTTTTCAGGCATATAAGCAATTAAGATTTTCACCTTCCTGTCTGAGGGCCACTTACTTCTTCCTTCCCTGCATGAACAGACAGGCTTGCCTTGTCTCTCTGTGACTACCTCTGCCTCCTCTTACTTCATTCTGCCTCAGAGCCAAATAAGCTTTTAAAGACCCAGATCACGAGACATCTCTCCCTTAAAAGCCTCCCATGGCTCCCCAGTGCAGTGCTGCTCCCCATAGTCCGTTAGCTTTCCAGGGATACTAGTCCTGCCACACCTTCTCCTTCCCTGGCTTGGGGCTCTGCGATTCAGACTTCTTCTAGTTTCTGTCTTAGAAAATTGCAAACAAAAAAAAAAAAGAGAGAGAAAATTGCAAACAAATATTCTCATCTCAAAATATGCTGTAAAGACTTCCTGGGACATCTGGTTTTATAGCCAACCAAGTACTCATGTATCCCTCAAGCTCTGACATTTCTGTTCCTGGCCATAGTCTTGTTTTCTTTATGGGATTTATTACTGGTTGACTTGTTTGGGTTCATTTGTTGACAGTCTCTTTCAGCCTGACTGTAATCTCTCTAGAATCAAGACTTTTTGCCTGTTGTGTCTATTGGATCTCCAGGCTAGTAACATTACCAGGCACACAGCTTATACTCAGGAAACGGTGAAATGGTGTTATCTCTGTGCTCCTCCTACTAGTCTGTAGGGACACCCTAATCATAGTCGGCCAAAAGCACATGGCTGATTTGTTTCGTGAAAGGTTGCCACAATTGTTCCCTGATGCTCTTGCTCCACCATGGCCTGTGCTGGGGCAGCTCTGTGGTATCCATATTCTCCAGTGTCCACACACTTAACATGGCTAGGCACAGAAGAGATGCCAATTGATACTTATGTGTTTTCTCCACAGACAGAGCCTCTTCTGGCCTCATGAGGATTTTTGGCTGCAGGAAAATTGGACATGATTAACTGAGCAAACTTTATGCCCTTGCCTCCACATGGAGAGGCCTGGTGGAATCCCAGGTGCAGTCAGGCCATATGACATCTCTGGAAATGAGGGCTAACAGCAGCAACAACAAAATAAATATTTTATGTACCAGTTTTGATTCTTGCCTTTAGCACTTGAAGGGACCTGAGAAAGCTGTCTGGAAAGAAAGCCTGATGCTCCTGTTCCCCAGCTTCACCTGACGTGCTAAGGAAAGACCGGGGAGAGGGTAGGATGCTCCTTCTGTTCACAGGGCTGAGACGCCCCCTCTTGTTAGCTGTCAAATAGATATTTCCTGTATCCTGCTGTGACCACATGGACAGAGGACTTCTATGCCATTTACTCAAGCATTCACCAAACTTCTGTCAAGTATTTACTTGAGGCTTAGGAGTGGGCACTAAATAACATACCTCTTTCCCTTGGTGGGTCAGAACTAGATGAAAAACAGATTTGGGGAGTGAGCAAGTAGGGTTGAAAATACAGGAAGAGGCTGGAGAAGCAACTGGACTGGAGGATGTGGCTTAGAAGTTTTCTACACTAAAGTTTTCTTTCTTGCCTTGGGTTCCTGTAGAAGCCAGCTCTGAGAATTTTGAGTATAGAGATATATTTGGGAAGTGCTTTCAGAAACAGTGGTAGGTTAATGGAAAAATAAGACAGGAAGGAAGCCATTAAAAGGTGCATTATCAAGCCAGTATATTTGTGTACACTGCCTTAAATCAATGTCAAAACATGAGCAAGCAGATTAGGGAAATATGAAAGAGCACATTTGGGGAACGTAGATGCCATACTTCACGAGATACCCTGGGAACCAAGAAACAAGTTGCAAAGAGGCAAGACAAGGCTTTCGCCCAGAGCTCACAGAAAATTTCCCTCCAGATCTGCTTCTTGAATTCAGACTTCTAGCCACCTAATTCTGGGAGTGTAGTAATACTCTTGTTTTGTTGTTTGATAACATCAAGTGAGAACCAACTCTTAGCTGATCATCCAGCAGATTGTCAGAGGCAGTAAATTATGTGGGAGGAGATTTGCCATCTTTCTAATGTGGAGAAACTGGTGGATTCAAATCATATGCCTTTGGGTTGGCAGTCTAACTCCTTCAGAGCTCCCTTATAATGAGTAGCTGGAAATAATGGTTCGCCTAGAAAAAGAAATACATAAGCAACTTGAAATAATGAGCTGACTCTCCATATTCTGTACATAAAGGTCCAGTGAAATCTACATGGTAACACTCAATGGCCCAAAGCACAGATCTGCTTTGAAAAAGTACAGCCAGAATGCTCCAAAGAAGCAAGGACAGGAACACTTCATTTCACATTAGTTTGGAGATGTTAGCAGGAAAGGCCAGTCCCTAGAGGAAGTTGTCATATCCAGTCCCTAGAGGAAGTTGTCATATTTGAGGAAGTTTAAGGGAAAAGGAAGTCCCGCAACAAAGTGGACTGATAAAGTGGGGGCCACCATGGGCTCAGGCAGTGGTCATGGAGATGCGCTGGACCATACAGTGTCTGTAGGATTACCACTAGGCCACCAGAGCTCCCTGCAATGAGTCAGAATATTTAGTTGGAACCATCTGGATGTGCTTAATAAGAGGGATATTAAATTTTATTTCTAAATTATTTTTAATATGGCTAGTGCTTGCACAGCACATGGTTCAGGGTCTGAAAGGTACAAACCAAAGGGCAGTTGCTTCTTGGTTACTTCCTGCACATGGCAGCTCCACAAGCTTCGTGGTAGAACTGCTTCCTAGGGGGTTCAGTAACTTATTTTTCAGAAAGTTGATCACCAAGCCTTTATTCTGAGGCCCTCTGGGTAGACTGACTCATTCACTGCCATTAAGTCCATTCCTGTTAGTAACTACGCTACAAAACATTTCAAAGGCTATGAGTCACTATTCTAAATGCAGTTATCTACAGGATCAGGTCAAGTCTCAGGGCAGAAAAGAAAATTCGATCTTTGGAGAGGCTGAAAGAGCTACAGAAATAACTCCATTCCCACAAAGCCTCTCTCTCACCCCAGTCCATCCTGAGGGAGAAAGGAGGGAATGTTACAGAGCCATATCAACATCGGCTTAACAGAAAAGCTGTGTCACTTCAGTTTGTTAAGGTCTTCTCTCTGACCCTCCACCTTTGCCAACATAATGTCTTTTTCTGAGGACTGGCCCCTCCTCATGTCATGCTCAAAATGTGGGACATGAAATTTCACAAAGTTTGCCTCTAAGGACCACTCTGGTTGCACTTCCTGCAAGACAGATTTATTTGTTCTTTTGGCAGTCCATTCAATTCTCCTTTAACACCACAACTCAAAGGCATCAGTTATTCTTCTGTCATCCCTGTTAAACTTTCAGATACATCAGAAGCAATTGAATATGTCATGGCTTGGATCAGGTGCATTCTAGCCATTAAATTGACATTCTTTGTACTTTAAAGTGGTCATTGACGGAAGAGTTTCCCAATGTAGTATGTCTTGATTTCTTGACTACTGCAATCATAGATGTTGATTGTGGATCCAAGTAAAATGGAATCTTTGACTGTAGTTTTTTCTCCATCTATCGTAATTTGGTCCAGCGGTGAGAATTTTTATCTTCTTGATGTTGAGATGTAATAATTATTAAACGCTATAGTCTTTGATCTTTATTGAGTGCTTCAGGCAAGATTGTGTTATCCATACAATGCAGGTTGTTGATGAATCTTCTAGAATCCTGAAGCCGCATTCTTCTTGATAGAGTTCAACTTCTTGAATGATTTGCTCAGCAAATAGATTGAATTGATATGGAGAAAGGATACAACCCTGACACACAGCCTTCCCTGATTTTTAACCATTAGCAAAACTCACAAAAGAAAAGGAGAAGACACAAATAATCCAAATAAGAGATGAATCAGGCAGCATCACAATAGAGCCAACTAAAATAAAAAAGCTAACATTAGAATATTATGAAAAACTATACTCAAACAAATATGAAAACCTAGAGGAAATGGACAAATACTTAGAAACGCACAACTACCTACCTAAACGGTTGTTTTGCTGTTGTTATGTGCCGTCGAGTCGCTTGCAATTCATAGCGACCCTATGCACAACAGCCCTAAACTCCGCTCTGTCCTGTGCCAATCGCACTGTCTCTGACACTCTCATTCCAATTATCCCAGTCACTGAATCAATCCACCTCATAGAGGGCCTTCCTCTCCTGCGCCGTCCCTCCACCCTCCCAAGTATGATATCGCTCTCCAAGGACCAGTCTCTCCTCACAACATGTCCAAAGTATGTCCTCACAACATGTCCAAAGTATGTTAGACGGAGCCTCAGAATGCTTGCCTCCAAGGAGCCACCCGGTTTAACCCT